AGAGAGAGAGAGAGAGAGAGATGGCTCCTGTTGGTGTGATAGCATAAGCCTGGCACTGATATCTCCTGACCCACCCAGGAGAAGCGTGACGTTAACTATACATATTATTGTAAATGTAAATTTTTACGTCCTCGTAGATACTATTTAAATAGTTCACGAGGCAGGCTGTTGGGCTAACCAGTGCTGAAATGGACACAACAATCCAGCAGAAAGACGGGGATACTCGATAAATAAAAACAAAAACAAAACAAAATAAAACAACTCAACAAGGGACTCTTTTGCAAGCGACGGTGAAGAGCGTAACCGTTATACCACATACGCCACTGGACTGCTTAGTTTAGGTTCATGAATGATTATACCCCCCCCCAACCGCTCACTCCGATTATGGAGGCTAATGTGTGGCGCTCACAGCGCAATAAGAAACATCCAGCATTTCTGAAGTGCATTTGAATATGAACTAACTCATCCATGGACTGCAGTAATTTGTGTGGAAAGGGAACAACAATAGAATAAATCTTGAATCCTCCACAAACAAAGATCACTGCGTAGATTAGTCCCAACAGCAGCTGTGTCTTATCAGGGGAAACGCATGAGTTATGACAGCATACTTGCGCTTCTAAGCCAAAATATTGTTATAGATGAGAATGGAATATACTTTATGGTCCCATGCCTAACACAAAGAGATAATAATGTAAACGGCTGGAGCTTAGAAGACTATTTGCGCACATCATACTTCTTGCGGTAACAATTGGGCGCAAAACGACACAAACAGTCAACTGTCACATATTTCTGGAGATCTTAGACCTCTTTATCGTTATAGATCTCCTGCCCCAAAGAGGAACAATAGAAGTGCAGCGCTGTTAATAAACAACGGCTTAATTCCGCTGGGATGGATTTCTCACCGCCACGACTGCCTTGCCCTCTGGGTTCGGGGTATATATAAGGCTGTGAAAACATCTCCAGGCCATGATCCTGTCTTCCATTCTCCTCACGTAAGTTTCAATGGAGCGCTGAAGTCGTCTTCTTCATCGTCGTCATTGTTGTCGTCATCATAATCAGTATGATTTTGATTGCCGCTTCTTCTTCTTCTTCTTCTTCTTCTTCTTCTTCTTCTTCTT